CCCGTGCGCTGAACGCCTTGTAAACCTTCAACTACACTATGCAGCATACCTTTCATCGTGGGCGCGTCACGTTGCAAGCTAAGCAACGCGTATACATGACGTGTAGCATCAGTCCTCAGTTCACTTCTTGTAACCAACATCAGCATAGGTCCAAGCCCTCTCGCTTGGAGGGATATGCAAACAAACATCATGATAGGTAAACTCGCACGCTACCGAGCATTCAACCGAGCACGCTACGAGCAGTCCTTGCATATCACCCAAAACGCTGGTGTCGGTATCGGCTGTTCCAAAAAGCTGTTCCAAGCCATCAGCGGCGTCCATGTCACCCACACGGCTCTGAACGACCTTTCTGATCTTATGTTTAAATAAATTTGTGTATGTTATACTTTTTTGCGCAAGTTTGTAATTTGACTTTACTCTGAACAAGTATGCGTTGCGCTACCGAAACCGCGCCCGTTTGCTTGCACAAAGTGCCGCTTCGCCAGACGCTAACTCTTCCCGCGGCCGTTTCATGCGCCCAGTCTTGCAAGCTACGTTGTTTGCTTTCTGAGCTTTCAGCTACGGCAAAGCAGGCACCCCATTGTCCGGGCTGCATGCCGCGTGCGACTGTGGCCAACATGCCCTCCTGCGCACCGCGCTTACACACCGCGGCCTTTCTTCGCCAAAAAAAGACATACACTTGTACACGCGCATCTTGCGAATCGCACGCGCGCATCCGCGCGATAAAATTCGCGCCTGGCTTTGGGCGTCTTGTACGGAGGGTTTATTCGGCACAGTACGACCGGACACATTTGTGCGAGGGGCTGCTTAATTATCGTCCTTGTCTACTTGCCTTTTTCTTTTTTAGATTGAAAACATGAATCCTGAGAAAGGTCACAGTTGGGATAATTTAACGGCGGACCTTGTCGAGCGTGTTGTTAGCTTCCTGGATCCAAACGAGGTGGTATCTACCGTCAAGGAAATCAATAAGGCCATGGCGAGCCATTTTCGGGAAAAAGTAGCTATCCGGTTGTCGCAGCCCGTACCCCATCACGCGTTCAACAGGCACTGGAGCCGCCCGGAGGCAGTTCACAACTTCACACGAAGTAAGCGCCGAGAGCTCGTACTCCTGACGGCCCGCAGCGGCAGCCTGGCCAACCTGCAGGTCGCCGTCAAGGCAGCGAGCTGCGAGCTTTCCTGGCAGGTCTTCGATGCAGCAGCTGAGGGCGGCCATCTTGAGATGTGCCAGTGGCTGCAGGAAGAAGACTTCCCTATTGATTCGTTTGCGGCAGTAAAAGCTGCCCGAAGTGGCCATCTGCAAACGGTCCGGTGGCTGCTGCAACAGGAGGACGATTTTCATGCGCGACGATCCATTCGTTGCTCGTCATTTATAGCAGCCGCCTGCGCCGGTCATCAAACTGTGTGTGAGGGGCTCCTGGAGGACGAAGGCGGTACTCTGGGGAAGCTCCTCCGGACGTGTCCTGCTGATGCCGCGCATAGTGGCCATGTGGGCCTCACACACTGGCTCCTTCAGCGATCTGGGCCAGAATTTGAGCAAGTGTCGAGCGTCAGAGAGGAGTGGATGGCCGGTGTTATCACGGGAGCTGCATATGGCTTTGACCTGGCGGCATTGCAGCATCTGCACCAGACCCTTCTGCAGTATGGCGGTAATAGTGGCAACGATGCCAGCAGCCTACTAACCGGCGACACCCTTGCAGAGGCCCTGGTGAGCCCCACCCCCGACTGGCGGGCCAAGGTGGAGTGGCTGCAGGCTCAGGGCTGCCGCCTCCATGGCGTTCAGGACTTCGATTGGGAGGCCCTTGCCAGCCGTCAGGATGCTGTGGAGCGGGCACAGCGGCTGCTTATGGAGGTAGAGGAAAAGGATGTCGTAGAACGTATCCTCATCAGCGCCGTACGTCGTGATAACCTGTCCCTGATACGCTACTTGCGAGTGGGGAGGGACTGGCTTCCAGAACGCAAGAAGGAGGCTGTGGTAACAGCAGCCCGTGCCGGCAACATGGTGCTGCTGGTCGAGCTGGTGACCTTGGGCTGGCTTCTTGATGGGTGGACTGCGCTGGCCGCAGTTGAGGGCGGTCACCTGCACATTCTTAAATGGATGGGTGCAGGTGTTGTTCAGAAGCACATCCAGGAGCTCGTGCAGTCGCACCAGGCTCTGTTGACACATGCAACATCGTCTGGTAGTGTGGAGTTCATGGAATGGCTGCTAAATGAGGTAGCCTTGCCCTGGAGTGGAGAGGAGCTTCTTAATGCAGCGGTGACGGCAGGCAGTCCAGCATTATTGGAGTGGCTTGTGGCCCGGGGCTTCCCCATGGGGGTGAGTGGCTCGCTTGCGTGAGCTCTGTGCATGTTCTTGATGCGTGCTGTTGGTGCTGCTCAGCTCTACTGCTCATCACTGAATGTATGCCACGCACTGTCTGGCGTCTGCTGGCGTCTTGGCCGATTTCGATGTGAAGGACCTCTCATCATTCTTGGCTTTCATCTGGTCTGCATCATTTCTGCTGCTGACCTCTGGACAGGATGGTAAAGGACCTGTCACTAGGTTTCCATTTGACTGTCTGATGGTCTGCATTTATTTATTCGGAATGTAGTAGTGATCGTACACTCTGGCGCACGCAGTCAATTCATACACATGCTGGGAGCACATTTCCAGCATCTCGAGAGGCCTTTTCAGCCGCCATCTATTACGGCTGTTTTCTCGGGAACCAGCTTCATACGCCTCGCTCCTTGCTATGTTGCAGGATGATGGTGAGCTTTACGTAAGGGCAGCACACCATCACGACCTGGTCATTCTGCGTTGCCTGAGGCGGCTGGGCTGCACCTGGGGCCCCGACGTCTTCAGCCGAGCGGTGTACGGCAGGGGCCATGGCAGTACCCTAGAGGTCCTTCAGTGGCTGCACGCCGAGGGCTGCCCGGTGGACTGGGAGGAGGCCAGGAGCCGGGCCAAGACCAGGAAAGATCAATGTGTGTGGTATGAAAATGCTGTCGCTGTTCATGCCTGGATTGAGAGCATAGCGCCGAGAGCATAGCTGTTGGGACGAGCCAGGGGGGTCTACAACAGTAGCAGATGTGCGTCTTAAGCAAAGCAAATGAACAGAAGCGAATTTCTGTGAGGGAGAGGAAGATTGAAGACGGAGGGGAGCTGCAAGGGGATGATGGGGAGGGTTTACGATAGACGGATTCTAAGAGCCTTTGTGCCTGGGAGCCTGGGAACCTGGCAGCCTGGGAACCTGGCAGCCTGGGAACCTGGCAGCCTGGGAACCTGGCAGCCTGGGAACCTGGCAGCCTGGGAACCTGGCAGCCTGGGAACCTGGCAGCCTGGGAACCTGGCAGCCTGGGAACCTGGCAGCCTGGGAACCTGGCAGCCTGGGAACCTGGCAGCCTGGGAACCTGGCAGCCTGGGAACCTGGCAGCCTGGGAACCTGGCAGCCTGGGAACCTGGCAGCCTGGGAACCTGGCAGCCTGGGAACCTGGCAGCCTGGGAACCTGGCAGCCTGGGAACCTGGCAGCCTGGGAACCTGGCAGCCTGGGATTCTGAGACCATGTGTGCCTGGGAGCCTGGGAATCTAATAGCATGTGTTCCTTGGAGCCTGTGTGCCTGGGAGCCTGGGATTCTGAGAGCCTGGGAACCTGGGATTCTGAGAGCCTGTGTGCCTGGGAGCCTGGGAATCTAAGAGCATGTGTTCCAGGGTGCCGGTATGCCTGGCAGCCGGGGATTCTGAGACTATGTGTGCCTGGGAGCCTGGGAACCTGGCAGCCTGGGAACCTGGCAGCCTAGGATTCTGAAACCATGTGTACCTGGGAGCCTGTGTGTCTGGGAGCCTAGGAACCTGGCAGCCTGGGATTCTAAGAGCCTGTGTGCCTGGGAGCCTGGCAGCCTGGGAACCTGGCAGCCTGGGATGCTAAGAGCCTGTGTGCCTATGTGCCTGGGAGCCTGGGAACCTGGCAGCCTGGGATTCTAAGAGCCTTTGTGCCTGGGAGCCTGTGTGCCTGGAACCTGGCAGCCTGGGAACCTGGAACCTGGCAGCCTGGGATGCTAAGAGCCTGCGTGCCTATGTGCCTGGCAGCCTGGGAACCTGGCAGCCTGGGATTCTAAGAGCCTGTGTGCCTGGCAGCCTGGGAACCTAGCAGCCTGGGATTCTAAGAGCCTTTGTGCCTGGGAACCTGGCAGCCTGAAAACCTGGCAGCCTGGGATGCTAAGAGCCTGTGTGCCTATGTGCCTGGCAGCCTGGGAACCTGGCAGCCTGGGATTCTAAGAGCCTGTGTGCCTGGCAGCATGGGAACCTGGCAGCCTGGGATTCTAAGAGCCTTTGTGCCTGGGAACCTGGCAGCCTGGGATTCTAAGAGCCTTTGTGCCTGGGAGCCTGTGTGCCTGGCAGCCTGGGAACCTGGGATTCTAAGAGACTTTGTGCCTGGCAGCCTATGTGCCTGGGAGCCTGGCAGCCTGGGATTCTGAGAGCTTGGGACCCCAGTCTTGAACGAAACTTTGGTATGGCTTCGTTGGCCTGCCCGCCATGCGCTGTGTTGCACAGACAGGCTGGCAGGTGGAATGCAGGACAAGGGCGTAACCGGGTGCGGGGCGTGGTGCCGTGTTGGGTCCTGGGGACATGCGCAAGCTGTGCGCCAGCTCGGATGCCATACAATGGCCTCTTTCCACCGCCAAATGATCATTTACCCAGTAGAGCATTCATTGTGCCATTCAGAGCCGACAAAGGGATGGAACGACGTGTTGGGCGTGACGGTCAGTCTTTGCTGAATCCCTTTCACTAATGCCCAGTGCTTTTGGCCATTGCAATGACCTTATTGCATGATTCAATTGTTCCAGTGCGTTGGTGTTATTTAAGCAGGTTACATAAACAGGTCATTAGAATGTCCGCCGCGCGCCTTGGGATGTTGTCTTTTTTCTTTCGATTGCTTTCTCCTTTTATGCTAGAAGCCTTTTGACTACGTGCGTCACAATTTTGGGGTTAGTTTCTCCTGGCGAGTGTTTTGCGCGTTAATTGCTTGCCAAGGAGTGCAAGCTGGAGCATTAATTATTAGCGTCTCATGAATCATCTACATACAGATGTTTTGGAGCTTTGGACCATCGTTTCCATGACCGTCCGCTAGGCGTCCGCTGGAACGGTCAGGATGTACGGCGTTGCGGACAGGGGACCGTCCGCCGGCGGGGTATATGTAACTTTATGTTTAACTCGGAGCCATGGAAAGCTATCTTCGCGCTCCGATTTATCTGGAATGTCTCCTTTGGCATTTCGATATAGAAGGGATATAGCATTCAAACGCTATTTTTTGCGGGGCGAGATATGTAAGCCACTGACTGACTGACTGACTGACAGCAGTGAACCCGGGGGGCTCGGCCCCCCGAATGGCGCTTCGCGCCCGGGGCCTCGCCCCAAAAGAGCTGCTTCCCAGCCCCAACGAACAAGACCGCCGAGGCACTACCCCCAGGGGAAAAGGAGTCGGCCGCTGTCCCCTCCTGCTTGACACAGAGCCTGAACCGCCGATACCTTGTAAGGGTACACACAGCAGTTGGTCTACGGAGAAAAAACGAATAGAAAGGCACACAGCCTCAAGTGCTGTGTGTATATATGTGTGCTGATGTAGGGTGGTACCCGGGGGGATGGAAGGTGATGAGCACAAGGCGCGTCCGGAATGGAAGTTAGCGTGTGCGTATGAATGTTTGTATGTATGTACGGTGTGTGAAACAGGGGGGTATATCTTCACCCGTGGCAGCTACCCTGCCTTCCCCGGTATTTCGGGGCACCCTCATCCAGTCACCCTAGACAACTTCTCAGTGGATCGCTCACGTTCCGCACCCACCCAGCATCCAACGGAATCCACCGGGTCGACAGCGGCCCAACTCCATTCCTGGTCGGCTCGCAGGTTAACTTTATCCCAGGTCACCACTGTCCATCAACTAGGGGCGCAATACTATCAACCATCGGGACGATTTTCGACCCTGACAGGTCTCCATCCCGGGATCTCACGGGGGCAATGGTTGAGCGTTACCAGTAGTGCCTAACCCTGGTATGTATGTATGTATGTATGTATGTATGTATGTATGTATGTATGTATGTATGTATGTATGTATGTATGTATGTATGTATGTATGTATATGTCATAAACGCAATGAGGGCCCACAGAGCCCGCAACCCGCGTGTACGGCAGTTTCCCGCGGAAGCTTAGTCGTGAAATCTCCTCTGCAGTCGGGAGAACGACAGATGCACGCCAGGGACGCATACACATGCACCTCCTGGCCAGGGTTCTTCACCAGGGTACCCAAAATCTCGGTCGTGTCCGAAACCCTCTGAATAACCTTTCGGGGCCCTCCCCAAAACGTTTCCTGTCAGCCGGAGAGTGTTTTCGGGTACCCCGAAACTGTCTGAAGTGGTTTTCGGGGTAAAGTTTAGCTGGATTCTATCGTTATTTGCTAGGACGGCTGAATTAACAGGTGTTTGACTTTATTTTGGAACATAGCGCCTGGGAGAAATATTTCAGCAAGGATTTTACCCAAAACCAAGGAGGCGCCGCTCCTCAACCACCTCTGCAGCAATCGCCTCCACCACATCATCATCCGTCTCCTCAGACGGGTACACCTCATCACTTGCCACACTCTCCACCTCCTCGCTATCAGGAGGAAGAAATAATTGGCCTCAGCAATTTCACTACCCACACTGCCCTCATCATCACTCTCATCAGGCAGAACACAGTCGCCCACCTTGGCAATACGGTGCAGAAGCCCATCCGGGTTCTTTGCAACATACTCCTCAGCAGCTTTAAATCACAAGGGGTTGGCATTTCATATCCACGGTTGGACCGAGTAATCCAACACGCAGAAGGGAATCAATGGACGGGACAGACAGCCGCTTACGCAGCCTGTTCTTGTTAATGCGGTGGACACTAAAGCCACGCTCAACACACGCTGTTTGAGTGGGCAGGACCAAGCGACATACGCCAACTGAATCAAGCGTGGAAAGAAGTGGACCCACTGACGCATTCCAGCCCAGGCCCGCTCCCAGGAGGTGCGGCCCAGCTCCAACTGCAAGGCCATCTTAGACTTCATAACTGAAAACTCTTTCTGCAAAACGTCAAGTTCGCTGACATCGAAGGCAAACAGGCGGTTCGAGCTTGCCGAAGCCGCGAATCCCAAGGGAGATGCGGGGCACCTTGGTTGGGCGCTCATCATCAGCTGACTCGGGCATGTTCAACTATGCATATGCTTAAATGTATGAAAATGTGGCATATGGATATGCTTAGATGTATGAAAATGTGGCATATGGATATGCTTAGATGTGTAAGAATGTCTGCGATACAGCTGCGAAACAGCCGCAATGCACATTTGTACTTGTTGTTTGACTGGTGGCCAAGCGGGCCTTATACGACAAGCCCGGTTTCCAGGCCCTGTCTGCGCCCGAAAACATGCAAATTTACGCTGAAATATCGTTCGGTTTTCTCCGAAAATGAACGACCGCCATCATGCATCCCCCCTGCCTCACTCCTCCCCCTTCTGGTCCTCTCTCTCTCTACAGCCACATAGCAGCTTCCCCCATCACACACACACACACGCACACCTTGTACCGCAGCCCGTCACTTCTCGCATCCTCTCGCACTCGCTCAATGTCGCTCCATATCATCAGTGCTCGTCCAACTGGCAACCAAAAAAACTAAATAATTTAATCCGGCAGAACACAAAGCGCCGGGAGGAGAAAAGAAATAAACCAGACAAGAAATCGGTAGCCGTGGGCTGCAGCCTGGTGGCAGCCGTGCAGTTAGGTACGTCCATATCGTCGTACTGGAGGAGTATCAGATGGCACTGCTGCACACTGCTGCCCCGGCTAACCCCCCTCCACCTCTGCTAGCCGCCTCACTCCATCACATCAACCCCTCACACCGCTGTTCCCCATCCCACCCTGTCCCGGCCCTGTGCGCTGGCCCAGGCCTCCCTTTCGCGACAAATGACCTTGCTTGGGGGAGAGGGGGAAGGGGGGCAGATGGGGAAGGGGGAGAGGGGAGAGAGGGGGAGAGGGGGGGGAGGAAAAGAAAGAGACACACACCCTCAGAAGCCGCCCAGATTACAAGTCCTGCGCATCTGCTCGTACGACGTCCAGAACACCAGCTGCCAGGGACCCAGCCGGGCCCACGTGGGCAAGAACCTGTGTGCCGTACGGGTTACGTACGTACAGCAAGTACGACGAGAGCGTACCATGATTGGGGACAGCAGCGGGTTACAGTCAGTGCCGTGTTGGGGAGCGAGGACGAAGAGCAGCTCTCTCAACACGCCCCTAGAGCGCCAACACGACCGACAGCGCAGACTAAGGAGAGTGAGTGAGTGAGTGAGTGTGTGAGTGAGTGTGTGTGAGTGAGTGTGTGAGTGAGTGAGTGAGTGAGTGAGGGTGGGGGGGTGGTGGGGGGGTGGGGGGGGCGCGGGCGTGCGGGCGTGCGTGCGTGTGTGGGTGTGTGTTGGTGGGTGGGTGTGCGTGCGTGTGTGTGTGTGTGTGTGTGTGTGTGTGTGTGTGTGTGTGCCGGAAGTGGAAATGGAAGAGGAAGGCCGGAAGGGCTTTGCTAAGGGGCACAAGAAACGCGGGTAGACGTCCGGAACTTGTACGGACTTATCAGAACATTCTGGAAGCATTTCACACCGCCCCCTGCACCGCGACCGCCCCCTACCCCCAAGCCAACCTACCCCCCCAGTCCCCCACCCGCAGAACAGATGCCGAAGTACCGCACTAGCCACCTCCCCCGCCTTCGGAGCTACCAGAGCTACCACCGCTGAAGCCCTGGCCCCCGTGTGGTTTATCACCCTCGCCCCCCCCCACCCACTTCAAGCAATCCCTTGCTCCGAAACCCCCTAACCCAAACCACCTCCTAGCCAGGCACGGCGAAGCTCCCCTTGAGCCGCGTTGTCCTTACCCCTTGTACAGAGCCATAAGGCCCTCCGCCCGCACACTTTTAACCAGGCAGTCCAGGGAGGAGCGGTAGCGGGGTGCGGCGGAGTCCTGGAGGAGGCAGCCCCCCGGGGGGGGGGGGAGGGGTAGATCGTATGTAAGAGGGGTTTGGGATGGCCAGAGCGCGGGTGGGAGCTGAGGATCTGAACGGCCCGACTAAGCACACCCCTACCAAGCCCCTTACCAAGCCCCTTACCATGCGCCATCAGCTCTATCAGCTCCTGCAAATCACACAAAGCTTCATCCCCCCCCAACCAATAATCCAGCTAACCACCGTCTACCCAATACCCGGTACACTGCCTGCTGACCACGCCGCAGCTCTCCTTTGCCCTCGGATGACACACACACACACACACACACACACACACACACACACACACACACACACACACACACACACACACACACACACACACACACACACAGACAGACATGTCTCATGTCGTCGGTTTTTCGTTTTCGCTTACATTCCCCGAAAACAAACAAATCCACACATGAGAGTTCGCGGCACGACACGACATTCCGCAGGTCCGCACGTACCTGAGTCATCATGCGCGTCTTGACCACATCGGCTGGCACCGAAACCACGCTCGCGAAGAAGCCCGAACACACGGAGGAGGCGGTGTGGGCCGCCAGGTTGTCGCCGCCTGTGAGGTTGGTGGCTAGAATGGCCTGCTTCGCCTGCGGGGTGCCGAAAAAGGGGGGGAGGCTGAGGGGGGAGGGTTTTGGAGGTGGGCGACAGGAGGGGATTGCACCGTACCCCTGAATCCGTGCCGTACCTGGTCGTACGTCGCAAGCTCTCCGAGGTTCACCAGAGCCGCACGCTGTACGGCAGGTCCGCCGCCGCGCCACAGCCCAGCCAAGCCGTCCGTCGCTACGATCTGTCGGAAGCAGTCCGTAAGGCCCTGCAAGCAGCAGAACCGGAAGCCGGCGGTATTTTACCGTCAGCCGGTGGTGGCAACGAGGGTACGGCGATGGCACCGTACGGCAACACGATGAGCCGGCGGTGGCAGGTGATGCTGGTGTTGGCGGCGGCGTTGTCAGGAGGTGATATGATAGTGATGTATAGTGTTGGTCGCACAGTCAAACAGAGACCTACAGCTGTTCAGTTTGTACTAAAAGGTTTACGGTCAAGCGGCAATGCTCGTACTCTGTCCGGAACGTACAACGCGCCATGCCGTACCTTGTACCGCGGCGCTGCCAACTTGCCCGCAGTCACAAGCCTCCCCTCCGCTTGAAGCCGAACCTAGGTATTTCCGTACAGCCCCGTACGACACAACGGTGGGGGGCGGGGGGTGCAACCAGGCAAGCCCCCGGGGCAGACGGATACAGACAGTCGGGGCGGAAAGGGAGGAGAGTGAGCTTCTGAAGAAATGGAGAGAGGATTTAGGAACGGAAAGGGGAGAGAGAGAGGTGGTAAGAGAGAGAGAGGTGGGGAAGTCACCTCCGTAGATGTTCATATACGGGGTGGGCACGGAAACATTGCAGCGAGCGGAAGTCGTGGTGCGCACCACCAGGGAAAACAGCCACTTAAAGAAAGAAAGGAAGAAAGCGAAGGTAAAACAAACGAGGCGTGGCTTCCTTGCCGCCTGCAGGGCAGCAGGGCAGCTGTGTTCATCTCCGCGTACCAAAGCTATAGGTGACAACGCCCCCTGCGGACACCCACAGATACACCAGACCCCAAAAGGTCACGCAGTTAACAGTTATAATGCAAAACAAACCCTCCGTGCGGGAACCCAGCCCAGCCCAGCCGACTTACGGCCCAGTGCCCCTGTCGGTGTCCCACCTTGACGAGGTCGGCCGGCACTGCCACTGCCTGCCCCACAGCGCCAGCCGTCAAACCCATAAACAACTTGGACGCCAGACCTGTCCCGCTACCATCACCGCCATGCGACGTGTTCGTACCCAATCTGCGGCCGCTGCCATGGGCGCCTGTCGACGTCATCGTTGAACATGAGGATGATGTTCCGGCGCTCCGAAGCCATTCGTACACCGTGATGCGCGTTCCTGAAGACATGGGGACGTCGTCCCCGTATGTATGTATGTATGTATGTATGTATGTATGTATGTATGTATGTATGTATGTATGTATGTATGTATGTATGTATGTATGTATGTATGTATGTATGTATGTATACGTATGACTTAGATTACACTGTGGGCGGCGAGATCCGGGGGCCGAAGCCGAAACACAGCGCAAGGGTCGGGAGCATACAGCACAAGTCGGTTAGTCTTGTACGTACGTATGTACGTATGTATGGTGTGAAAGGAGAGGGTTTAGCACATGCCACGGCGAGACCAAGGGGTCGCATGGTTGTCCTCACGACCTCCTAGGTTGTCACGGACGCCAGGAAACGCAGCGGCGGCGGCGGCGGCGGCGGGTTCATGTTTCATTGGAATAAGGAAGAGCGTAATGGAGAATGTTGGTGTGGAAGGACGCCGCTGGGGCAAAGTGGTGGAACTCTGGGCCACGGGGCCGCACAGACATCACTCACTCACTCACTCACTCACTCCGGGACAAAGATGGTAAGGAGGGTTCTGGCCGATAGTGTTAGTGTGATTGGGGTGAGTAGGGGGGGGTGGCGGTGCCGGTGTTGAGTTGTTAAACTCACGGACCGATGGGTTTGTGCCTTTGAGGCAGGCAGGGAGATATGGCCCTCGGTTAGTCGTAGTGGTATTGCGCATGCGGGGCAGCACAACAGCATAGCAGCAACAGCAATGAGTGGCGCGTTTGGCTTAGCTTTGCCATCGCGTCGCTGCCCGCGGCCTTCGGCAAATGTTCTGCTGTGTCACGCGGAGTTGTGAGAACCCGTCCAATAATATTCACGGTTTTGGATTTGATTTTGGCCACAGCGCAGTCCATCAATCCTGTGGTTTGTTCGTACCCGTGTAAAAGACATGGCGGATGAGGGCGGGCGATAGGCCGGCGTACAAGCCCCGTAGACCCTCGCGTCGTACGAGTTCCATGGCGATGCGTACTGCACCGTATGGCTTGCTTGCGGTGGTCACCGTATTTGAAGCAGTGGTGGCGGTACGGAGTCCGCTTCCCAGCTCCCCCTGTACGGCAGAGCACCGGGAGGGATACGTATACGCGGCGGGTGGAGGACATCATGGCAAGTAACCGGATGGCCGTACGGAGCTCGTCTAACGAGGGGTAGGCGACGGCGGTGAAGGAAGCCACAGCTTGGAGTGAAAAGATTGGGCGTGCCGGGGTATCGCCCAAGTTAAGATAATCCAGAATGGTGAGGTAGTTACACTTTGGCCTGTAACACGGTAGGGGGGAGGGAGAAGAACAGCAGAGAGCCCAGCCCGTGCGCAGTACACACAGCTGGGGCTGTAGGTAACTTGCTGCGGATGCACGGCTTCGCCACCCGTACTGTCGCACCAGCGCGCGTAGGATGCTTCACGCAGGACGCCTTACACACAGGTAATAGACCATTTGATATGCTTTCCACCGCTCGGCATAATCAACAGGAATGGAGTGGCAATCGCTATCCATCTTGCCAAGTTGCGCCTTAACATAGCACGAAGTTCAATAGCTCGCTAACTGCCACTCGCCTAGTTATGAAGTTTTAACAGCAGCAAATTTCCTCTTCAAGCAGGACCGCCTCAAGTTTCGGTTTGCTTTTCTGACAGAAACCGCAGACGCACCTGCAATTGAAGCCGTGTCTTCACCACATCAATGGGATAAGTAACAGCTTCAGCCACCATTGCTGCTGAGCAGGTCAAGCCAAGCTTGAGCGCTGCCTTTGTCGCCGAACTCCCTTCTTTGCTCATCGTCATAGGCCAACTATGAAATACCGAAAATTGTGGAGTCCCTCAAACCCGAAACAGGCCGCTTAACCAATAATTTGTCCGCAAGTATAGGCGCAGCACCGAGTATAAGTGAGGTACATTGGAAAAATAAAAGCATTATGCCATCGTCGTAGCGATTCTTCAATAAGTTTTGAAACCTTTAAATGATTCAGAGGTAGAGCCAGGAGGAACCAAGCACTGGCCGACAGGACACGGCCGTATTGGGTGTGGCCGCACTTTCGGGGCCCTGTCACGCAGATCAATCATGCATTCAACCACGACTGCCGCCCCGCTAAATCCTGCCATGGGGCGACCCCGCAGCTTTTGGCTCTTCAGGCACAATACGACACAGAGCACCGCGCGACGTGTCAAGCGCACGGTGTCAAAAACGTGTTTGGGGTGTCCAACGCCACGGAGTACTCTCAACCCGTAATACTTGCCGCCAAGACATCTACAGAACCTGCTGTCTTTGCTCCCGACTGCGGCGCCAGCGGCGGTGGCAAAGGCTTGCATAGCCGGGCCATGGCACCTGCCTTCTTCGCGGTGTCCGTCAGCACTCGGACAATCCAGAGAATTCCTCCACACACCAGCAAAACCAATCAAAAACACTTATCACTCAACAAGTAACCCTTGCACCCGTATTCATCCGGGACACTATCAGACATCATGCACAAAAACCATAGTGGTATGCAGGCAGGGGAGGTTCTCCAACATGCTCACATACTGAATAGCAGAAAAATCTCCCCTGCAATCCCCCTTGCTATTAAGCAGCGGTGACCAGAGCATGGACTCTGCGTGATTACTTCGTCGCCGGCGGGGCTGACTCTCCGGGTTTGTGGCGAAGCGTAATACGTCCCTTTGTCAGGTCGTATGGGCTGAGCTCTACCGTAACCGTATCACCCACGACAACCTTAATCCTATTTTGCCGAATCTTCCCTGACAAATGTGCAATGACGCTAACCCCGTTCTCCAGCTTGACCTGAAACATGCCGTTCGACAGATCCTTCAGCACCTCGCCTGTAATGTCAACCATCTTCTTGACTTTCTTCTTTCCAGCTCGAGGCGGTGGTGTGCCCGCTTGGCTGGCAACCGCACGTGCGACAAGGGCATTCGCGTACGCCGTGGAAGCCTGGCAAACAGCAGAGTATCTTATAGCAACATGTATATTAAGATTTCAATACGAAACCAGCTAGTAATAACCCACCTGGGAAGTTGGATGCAACCAAGAGCGAGCGATGCGCTGCGCCACGGGCCGAACGTTTGGTGCAAAACACCGGAAACCAGCCGCCTGTAGAGACAAGCAACAATATTTGGTTGAAATGGTCAGGTTATGAGTCATGCCAAACGCAGTCTTTCGCACCTTGGCCGTTGGCCTCTGCTGAAGAAGTTGAGAGGTCTGCATTTCTCTTCAATTATGTACCTCCTTAGCAAAATTGCAGGCGCGTCCCACTCATCCAATTTGCAAAGTCTAGACCGGTAGCCGACTTCTACCGACTTTTACCGGATCCAAGCCTGTGTACGCCAGCATACCGTACGCAGCATCTGTCGCCCTCAGCTCGCTCCAGGGTGATCCTGCTGCTTCGAAAGGGCGCTGGAGAACCGCATGGTCGAGCTGCAACGCACATTCCTGAAGCATCTCACTGGGTTAGGGAACGTACCAGACAACCGTGTGTTGTTTAGGGAGCTTGGTCAATGGCCCCTCCATCTCCACTGGGCCTCACTTATTTACCATTTTTTGAAAAGGGTCATCCTTGCGAATGAGATAGTGCTTCACAATGTTCTGCGTGAGGAGGTCCGTCTTGCGGTGCGTTTTGATTATGCTGCCACTACCTGGGCTGCCATGTTTTTAAGGGGTCTCAGGCGCCTAGGGCACTTCCCGGAGCCGCACCCGGACCTGGATGGAGAGGGGGAAGTCCAATTTATTGCGTCGAACCTGATCAATGTTGGATCTGTCATGGGAATGTTGAAGGAGCGATTTGACGACGACTGGCAGAACCCACGTACACCAACATAGCACACTCCGGGACTTTGTGTTTCACAACCGTAAATCAGGGGTTCAGACGTGCCGGCATGCCCAGTGCATGGGGATGCCGAAACACACGGCATGCTAGATCCCTGCGAAGCGTGCTTGTCACTGCTTCGCGTGCCCTTTGGAGCCCAGCCGACCCGGCGGTAATGCAGGGTCTGTGGCAACAATAATGCAGTAGAAGATGAGTTTGACGTGTTGCTAGAGTGTCCCGTATACGAGGACCTATTTGGACGGCTTCTCAACCCCTACTAGGTGTACGCCAGGCGGATATCGAGCCCGTTCCTATGATGGGGTCTGTCATGGAGATAGATGATCAGCGCGGACTCGCGCAGATCGTACATAATATCTGGATGAGGCGACGCACGCTGACGCATAGCTGAGTAGTAAGCCCGAGCTCGCTTACCTTAGCCACTGTTTTCTCTCGCAGACTGGGTTCGTAACCCCTTTTTTCCTTCGCCTTTTTGACTACGTTAGAACTCGCGGTCCACGAGCCTCCTGGTTGTCTGGATTTCTTACGAGCTCTCACGATAAGATATAATAACATGACAGCTCGCTTTCCCAGCCGTGCACCTTGCTTAGCTGCCTAGTGCTTCTTCAGAAGGTTCCTAGCAACATGGTGCAGCGTGCATTTTCTTGTCCGAAACTTAAGTGTTGGGGGCGTCCTCTAGGGCAGAAGGCCGCAGGATGCGTTCATTCATTACACATCCAAGCGGGCCAACTTTATCGCACGTCGCTCGCTCAGCAGCAGCTGACAGTTAACACCACTATTATTCTTGGCAAACAGCACCATATCCATAAAAACCCCTTTCATAGGCAAACCCAAACATTCAACTCGAACTTCGGGATCAACTTTGAACCGGGCTTTGAACCGAGGCTTCAAAAAATGCTTCATGCTTCACAACCACCATGCAACAAATGGTGAAATGCACACGCCTCCCTGCGATACCCGTTAACCTGTACGGTTTCCGAACGCCATCCAAGCCATTAGGCAACCACGCCGCAAGCAACCGCTCCAGATTACTTCGGATTTTTGTAGGGTGAAGACAATTACTTTTATGAATACCTAAAAGACAGACTGCGCCGTTCTCCGCTGGACCTCACTCTTGATGAATATCTTGCAACACCCCCTACTCCCCACTTACTGAACTGTTTTCCCACAGAACATGCCCGCTGCATACCCAAAGCAAGTATTACCGTATCTCGAAAAAGCAGACAGACAGACCCAGCGCAAGGTCCAATAATGACCTGTGCGGTCTCAAGACACAGCCCACCATCCTCCTTTCCTCTCCCTCCCAAACCCGGTACCTGGGAGCCCCAAACTCGGGGCCGCTGGCAGGCATTGCGATTGCCATCATCATCCCCATCACAGCTACCCGCGCTAGCCAACACAATATTGCTACACGCATGCTGGCGCCCCGGCGAAACCTTCCAGAACAGTCCGTGTCGGTCCGTAAATCCATCCATCCATCCATCCATCCATCCATCCGCCCGCCACTCTATATGACCAACCGCCACCCAGCCAAGTAAGCGGCCTATCAGCAAACAGCCGCATCGGCACCTCAATAAGATCAAAGAAGAAGATCAATCTCAGGGGAACGTTTCCGATAAATCCCGACCGATGGTGGGTCCTACTCGCGTACGAGAGAGGCAACAGGCTGTCAAGCCACCAAAACGCAGTCCAATGCTCATCACAGTATGCTTATGAGTTCCCAAAAATGGAGACATGCACTACGAATCGCCACAGCCTGTCTGATGCGACAAGGCATCTCCACACATAAAGCCCCACCTAACTCTTCCCTTCCCTTCTCTTCTCTCTCATTCCCTTCTCTTCTCTCTCATTCCCTTCTCTTCTCTCTCATTCCCTTCTCTTCTCTCTCACTCTTTCCCGTGAAAACTGCCACAGAAAAGCTCACAAGTAACGAGCCGCATGCAACACAGCATGTCGCAGCGGTGACATCGCATTGGTTGACAAGAACAAGGACAGCGGCAGCAGGCGGACGCACGCGAGGGACCCCAGCCAAACGCTAATCCCATCTTCCACAAAATCCGGCACCACCACCAGCAGCAACGCCAGCACCAGCTATTATGACAGCACACGACACTGAGCTCGTGTCCCGTTCAGACAAAGACGATTGTGTCATGTACGGCGAGGAAAGCAGCAACACGCCGGGTTTCCAAGCTTCACATCCCGCGACGTGGATTGCACACACAGCACCCCCCCTCGCACCACCGCTCGCTCCCTCCCCTCCAGGACTGAGACGCAGGTTATCATTAACTCCTCTTTTAGATATTCAGAGGCCCTTGTCCATGATTACCCGTATTTGTTTATTTATTTGTTTGTTACCTCCGCGGCTAAGATGTCACCACCGTGGATGTCGCAACATGCTAGCGCCCCGGCTTTGCGCCGGTACGCACTGGTGCCCATCTTCATGATCTCCGGCGCGCGCGCACACACTCTCTCTCATCCGTGGACCTGGTTTCCCTCCCCCCTGACAAACACTGTGATCTAATGAGATGAAGTCCCAATCACACACGGGGATCAACACGGAAAACCTAACCAAACCCAGAAGCGTTATTGTACGGTAATGTACTACGGACAACAACAGTAACAACGACGCGGGTCTTGAATTGGAATTCTTTTGCCCTTCCTTGGAGGGCTGCGTTCGCGTGTGCGCTCGTGTGCGTGCGCGCGTGTGCGTGTGTAAGCGAGCTAAGTCGCACAAAGTGGTGAAGATGTAGAAGTGTGGGTATATCTGTGTGTAATTATATTGCGTGTGTGTGTGTGTGTGTGCGTGTGTGAGAAGCACACGCACACACACACGCAATATAATTACATGCTGGATGCATGCGGTGCATCCCCGGGGCGTCCACGTGCTCTCGACAGGAATAAGCGCGGTTGGATCATCTGTGCAGTTTCTCGCGGCGGCGCCAGTCCGGCCGCTACACCCCCCAAAAAAAAAACAAAAACAACTTGGGTCTTAAAGACGCCGCTCCTAGCCGCAACCAATCAGTTCAGTTCTCGGAGTTGAGCGCCGACATGCGCTTTCCCCGCCATCTATCGCGACAACGCACCTTGTACACCTGAACCGACTAAACAGACGACTAAACGAGAGAAGAATAAGCAAGTAACCAGCGATGTTATCGGTTTGATTTTAAAAGTCCATTCCCTAAAAGCATTCAAAGATTGGATCCTCGTCCTGACGAGGGGTCGTGCAAAATGTGAAAAGAAAATTCCAAGCTAAAGCCATGCAGGGGCTCTTTCAAGCAGCACGGAAAATACGAGACCTTTTTGCCCCCCAAAGGAAACACGCTGAGCATACACCGCGAGGGAGGTAAGCACGCCATATCCCGGGGGTCCCTGTTTTACGTCCGTACTCGACAAGCCTCAAAGCTCCCTCGTACAGAGGCCCCAAAGCAGGGGCTTCTTATGCCGCTATATGCCCCGTTTGATATTTAAAGAGAAGCTCTGATGCCATGTTCATGTCTTCTAATGTACCTCGCATCAAATGGCTCAAAAATGCAATTCCGCAGCCCAGGCACGGCCTGGCTGTTTCACGCCGCTTCCCTCGTCCGCGCTTCTCGTGGAACTACTTTGTCCGGGGTAACCCTAGGGAAACGACGGTCCTGCGCGGCCCCGCACGCGCCGTTTTGTAATCCTCTCTCCCTCCCTCTATCTCTCTCTTCCCCCACACACACTCATATGTATACATATTTATGTGTATGTGTATGTGCATCCCCCCACATGGCAGGGTCTTTCTGGGCCGCGAGGGACGACGACCCAGAGGCGCCGATGACGACCCACCAGACGACGCCCCCCCCCAACCCTGCCCAACCCTGCCCTACATGACCGTGCAACATGCCGGTGTCTCCTTCACCCCCTCCGTGTCCTTGGTTTGGGGCACAACAGCCGCCTTCTCAATCTTCTCCACATCGATTTTGCCTGTGACGCGGCGCCAGTGGACAAGGGCAAGCGGTTGACGGATAGGTTCAAAAGCTTGCCGACAGGAGCGCGGGCAACGCTCAGCACACGGCCGTCCTGCGCTGCTGCTGCGCTCTGCAGCCGGATGCATCATGGACCTGCCCCGGAGGGAAAAGCGCCCTGCGCGCTCGAATCACATCCTGCAATTTACGAGTCCTTAGATGTTACGGCAGGACCTGTAGCCGTACAGCCGTACCCTTAGAGAGAGTTAAGCGTCCCCTTATCGTGAAGAGTTATCCCCATCCAAACCGCAATGCCCGTAAACGCCCCGTAAACGCCCTAAATCCCACTCAACACACACACACACACACACACACACACCACGGGGCTCCCGCCACACATCGGAACACGTCATACCTTTATAGCGCTCCGGGTCAAACAGGGGTCTAACTCCAATGAGCACCCCCGCCGCATCATCAATGAGCTCCTGCGTCACCCCCATCTCCTTCAGGGAGTCTACAAAATGACCTGCCGTACAGTACGACAACGGGCACGTGCGCGCACGCGCGTTTCCAGGTTAGGCAATATCTTTTCCCGTCGCAGGTTAGGGGTACAACCTCCTCAGCAGTGCCCTCCCCCAGCTAGGTACGGCAACCACTGGCGCTCGACAATGATCCGTTACTTCTTGTGTGGTCAACCGTCCCTGCTGCCCCGCTGCTGCTAGCCACACATGGCTGCCAGGAGGGCAAGAAGCGGTGTCTCTGGCAGCTTCATCATAGGCACTGTCGTCCTCCTGTCCGATTTCATTTTAAAGGTACAGCTGTGGCCCACTGCTGGTAGTAGGGAAGAGGGGGTCCGACCCCCCTCACTTCGCATATACGCCCCCCCGGAGGTCTTTAAAGCCAGTCCGTTGGTCCGTCTGTCCGTCTGTCTGTCTGACTCTCTGTCTGGTGTGCCGTGAAGAGGTTCTTCTCAATTTGGGTTTGAGGGGCCCCTCCCCCTCACACCAAATACACCCCCCCAAAACCCGGACGTGTCGGCCGTTAATCCTTTGTTTCTTGCACACGCTTCCCCCGCCCATTAACAGGGTAATGGGTAATGGAGGGCCCGGCCCAATCCAACAGTGTATTCGATGGTGACGCGGTGGATGTGGTGGATTGGGACGTGCGCCTGCTGCGGCCCTATCATCCTATTTACAGTCGATACACGATTTGGCCAACCCCCAAGCGTGGGCATGTCACGCAGCCGAGTGCCAGTGCCACAGGGCCCCCCAACAACGTCAGCCGTGTCGCGCCTTGGAGCCCCCTCTCCCCTCGCCTCACCCGACACCTTGGAGCCCCGTCTCCCCTCGCCTCACCCGACACCTTGGAGCCCCGTCTCCCCTCGCCTCACCCGACACCTTGGAGCCCCCTCTCCCCTCGCCTCACCCGACACCTTGGAGCCCCGTCTCCCCTCGCCTCACCCGACACCTTGGAGCCCCCTCTCCCCTCGCCTCACCCGACACCTTGGAGCCCCCTCTCCCCTCGCCTCACCCGACACCTTGGAGCCCCCTCTCCCCTCGCCTCACCCGACACCTTGGAGCCCCCTCTCCCCTCGCCTCACCCGACACCTTGGAGCCCCCTCTCCCCTCGCCTCACCCGACACCTTGGAGCCCCCTCTCCCCTCGTCCGACACCGACCAACATCCGCATCCAGACGCGGGGAGCTGGGTCCAAGCAGAGCGCTCGTGGGGTGACGTACTTACCCGCAACTTTATCGAAGTGCGACAAATTAAGGCCCCGGTTGATGATGAGGTGCGCGTGGCCCATGACGATGTCTGTGCGCGCGGACAGGTGAGGAAGGTGTTTTGTCATAGGAAAAGTGGTCGCCTTGCAGGTTTCAAAAGATGCGATCAATTAATGCTGCTAGTGCAGGTTGTCCTTGATGAGAGGGGCGGTGAGCCGCAGCATGCAGTGCATCAAGTGCACGTGCTGTACGGCGGCTGGGTTTGAAGGCCCGCCAATAACGAAGTCTGCATGAGTCGTACGAACACGAGCTTCTTACCCTTGCCGTGGTAGTGACTCGTCGCGCCAAAAGCGTAGGCCAAGAAACGGTTCTGTTTGGCTATAAGCGTGACCATGTCAACGCCGTGGAAGAAGGGAGCAAGGTCCGGGTCGCCCATTAACTTTTTGTAAAATATGTCGACCGTGGCTGCCACGGCAGCCGCGCCTCCCAACTTCGCATGGAGTGTAGCTCTTGCGGTCATTGGCCTATGCGCACTGCTTGTGTTTGTGCTTGCAATCTGTGTACACGTTCCACAATACAACGCTGTTGGGCCACAATCTGGTGCCACGAAACTTGTGCCATTTCATCAGCGGATAGAGTGGACACGAGAGACCGCTCTATCATGACGTCGCAATGTTGTAGACATAATGCAAATTTCATAGCAAGGTGTGGCGTGTGAACTCAATGTTCCTCCTTGCGAAACTCAATCCTGCCACTTACGGGACGAGGTGTTTCGGGAAATGACCCCTTTGCTTGTTCGTCATCAGTTCCAGAATATAAGGGGTTGGCTGACTTGCCATTTGCTGCGGACATGGCCGCAAGAACCTAACAACGCTGCACGTAAGGCAACTACAGCTTTAGGGCTTTGACGGGCCCTCGTGGCTAAACCAAATTAGTTGGACAAGAATATTGCCTTCACCCAGGAAACTAGACAGGCACGTCGACCATGTAAGGTTCCTAAGTCCAAAGAACAGTTGACAGCGCTGGCAAAGTAGAAGGTACGTCTAAAATGCGGGTTGAGGTAGCCGTTCAATTCAATATCAATACAGCAGAATGTGGGTTAGCAAACGAAATTGAAGTTCGGTACAATCTCAGCGTCAACCGTACTCCGGCCGGTACATTTCTCTGATGCACCCTATTGCGACGTACGCCAAACACACTTTCTCCGACCCCAAGCAACGTGGGCCAAATATCAAACTTTAGGCATAAAAAAATATGATACAAAGAGACCGGCCGCGGCTTTTCCCCGGCGCTTTGGTGGACTAAGGAAGGGTCAGCGACCTATTCTTCCCCCAGGACCCATGTACATCACCATCAGGCATTCCGAACCTCTCACCCTCCCAACCTGCCCCTCCCCAAAACTCCTCCCTCGCTACCCCGGTCCCTTCCTCATCTCCGCAGTCATCTCGCCCGTCGCATACCGCCTCAACCTTCTAGCCTCCCTCGGCCGCCTCCATCAGCCGCCTTTCTCCTGGAACGACAACGATCCGGCGCTCTTTCCAGACCGCCCACCACAACCACCTGCAGCCCCTACTGTGCTAGAATCTCCGTATGACAGTGCAGATGCCGTCGTCACTGCTGTCCGTCAAGGGTACAACAAGCGCGCCCGTCCGCCCGTCATGTTCCCCGTACGGTGGTCAGCGGCCAGTCATCATGGTAACTGTACGACGACGTTCGAAACCTACCAGCGCTTCGTGCCTTCCCGAGGATCCCAACCTGGACTGCGTTCATCACCGCTGTCAGACCGCTATGCCTAGTTCAGAGCCAAGTCCCCGGAGCATGCACCGCGGATAGTGCAGTTTCTGGGGGGGTAGAGCTGCGTGTTGGATGTGTGTGTATGTTTTTGTGCGTGTGTCTTCGTGTGTTTTGCTTGTGTTCTGTTCGGGTTTGAAGTACGTCAAGGTTTGGGATTCGTGTCTGTTGGGGTTTTAGGGTTTTGTGAGCGTTAAGCGTACTAGCTTGCAGCTTGCCTTGGGGTTAAAGATGTGCCCAGTGTGCTCAATGTGTCTGAGGCACTGGAAAGGAACCGGACCGCTCCTAAGCAATCGGGAAGCGGAAGCTGATTTTACTTGCCGTAAGCCAAGAGAAACGGAATCGTTCGAACTCAACTAAGACTTGCAATGACGTACCACACACCGTACTTCTCCAATCCTAGCTCCGCAAGCTCCGAAGCTACGACAAGTACGAACACAAGCTCCGGAAAATCGTCAAATAGCTCCGGAACATTACAACAGTATGTGGATGTTCTGGCGTGGTAGTACGATGCGATGACGATGATAGATGCTGTCCGGCAGCTCCCGCCTTTGGACAGTTCTTTGGAGTTAAATAACCTGCAATTTTTGGTTGGAAAATCTAAGCTGAATTGCGACTAGCTCGAAAATGCGCATAGGCTTCCGGCGCCCACCCGACAGTCACAGTCCATACATGAAGCCCCGTCCAGGCAGGAACGCACCGAGATTGCTTCAGAAGCCCTTGTGTGTGTGTGTGTGTGTGTGTGTTACATGGTCGCGGGGTGTGTTCCCCCTACCTGCAAACCACCCCAATACGAGCCGAGGGCTCAAGGGCGGCCAGATCGCCTATAAGCACCATCCTACCTCGCACTTCAAACGAAACAAGCCATGAAGGATACTAACGACCAAAGGGAACGATAGAGTTGCGGTGGGACCATATACGTTCCAGCATCCTTGCCAGGCGTTCAGGTTCCCACTTCATAGCGTCCTTCATGTGCTCGAAGCGTGGGAAACCCATACCAGATCTGATTTTGTCGTACACCGGACAGTAGCTGTGTGTCAAAACTGGTTCCCCTGAGCTGAGCCATGCCTAAGCCTTATAGGCAAACCCCAAAGTCTCTAGCAAGCAACGTTTGTTACAATCAGCTGATGAAGTAGGAGAACTGACGGAATAAATACCAGGGAAAGGCCACCGTACATCAAAAGGGCGCGCAAGTTGAATGATGGTTTTAGGCATAAACCATTACTCAACAGTACGGTCGGCAGTTGTCTGGTCAACATAACGAATAGACGAGTGAAGACACAAGGAAGGTCTGGCCGAAATACAACACTCCCACGCGGACAGACTTCCGTACGATAGTTTACGACAATACGGTGGTAAAACCTTATGGCATATTGACAGCAAGGGGTGCGGTACGGTAGGGAGACGCGCATAGCCATGGTGGATGAGTGGGTTCAAACCACCACACAAGTACCCAAAATAAATATCCTACGCCTAAGGTAAGCTCACACGCAAGGCACTAAGACCAGCGAAAAAAAAAAGTTACTAAGAGTCCTGTAGTGGCTCGCCTTTCACGGAATAACAAAAACATGGTTCAGTTACTTCAGTCCCATGCCTCTGATGCAGAACCTTAGCTTTCTCCCTTGGCAGCGCTATGGTGGGTGAGCATATCCGCCAGCTGCTCAACTGTACTGCACCGCACCATTCGGATCTCACCATATCGCACTTAATCGGAACAGCGCTCGTGCGAATTCCCAGATCGCACATCAAGTGCCGCAGCCATAGCCCCAGTCCAGTCCAAAACCCTAAACCCCTAATCACAGCAACCGGTCCATGAAAGTCCACATGGTAACCCTTCAGGCCTACTTTGCCTACCGAAATCAGTTTGTGACCGAATCCCGGCGCATGATACACATTCTTCAGGGTTATCTTGATCTTGCCATTCTCTCCCTCGGCTTCTAGCAGAACGGTGCCCACTCCAACCGTCTTGCAAACCGCACCTGCCACACCTTCTAGAACAATGTCGTCCGTGAGCGGTCTGTAGTCATTGAAATCAGCCCGGTCGTCCGTGAAATGGACAGTCAGCTTGGCGAGCGACTTCTCAGCGGTGGACTTAATCTCTTCGGCTTCAGAGGTGGTGGAGGTGGTTAGGGCCATCACCAGCTGCTTGCTGCGTCGATTGCCGCCCTTGTTATTGTCCCTTGTGATGAGTGGACACTGAGACTTGATGTGCCTGAGAACACCACATTTGTGGCACTTATGGCTTGTGTAGGGGTTGAGCAAAACCTGAGGCCCGCTGGAGCTGGTACTCATCCCCACCTTGACGTTTCCTTGGCCTCTACCCGCTCCACCACGGTAGTCGCCACCGTTGCCATGGTAGCCACCTGCACTGCTCCGGTTGTTGAACGCCAGGGGCGCGACCTGGGCCCACTCTGCGATGGTATCACCTTGCATCCGCTCCGCCAGGAGTAGAGCGGCCTTCATTTCCGAAAGTTTAAGCTCGCTCGGTGACTTGGCAGCAAAGAGCATCTGCTGCATTTGAAACCTCTTGTGCAAGCCGCCCAAGATGGCCAGGGCGAATTGGCTGTCGTCAATTTTCGAGCCCACTGCAACCATCTGTTCGCGCAGATCCTCCGCTTCCTCAAAGTAGTCAATAACGGACTGGCCTGTCCGTTGCTAGAGATTGCTGAGTTTTTGTTTGATAAGCAGGATGTTGGCTCCTATCTCTGATACGCATTCCGCACGGATTGCATCCCAGGCTGCGACAGAGTCGGCTGCTTGGTCGATCAGTCTATGGAGCGTGGCACCGTGAACTTCACCATTTGGGATTTCGCCTTCATGGATTTCTCGACGACGGCGCTCGGCAGGCCTTCCACTTCGTTCCATAGGTCTTTACCGGCCAGGCAGTACTTCATGGCCGTCCGCCAGCAAAAATATTTGGCGTAGTTATCGAGGCGCTCGATATCATAATACTTGTCCTATTAAAAGCCAGAGAATTCTACGCCAGCAAGTTCGGACACAATACTTTAAGCAAAACGCTTGCTCGCTTGCTGCTGCGGCGCCGGGCTCATCTGCTCATCGTCCAGATTTGGATTCCGAATTTCAAAAGATCCAGTTGACCCACATCAGATTTGTGTCCCAGCTATCTCACACAGCCCCCTGGACCTTCCTTTTCCGCCTACTCCTCTTCCTCCTCCACCATTACCATTACCACCTCTTACCATTGTGGTGACCCGATGTTTCTGTCTCCTGGAGAGGAGCTTCTCTGTGGCCCTCTTCCGCCGCCTCGCCTCATCTATGCTCTATGCAGCAAAGTATTCTCAGCCACCTTTGGCCACCTGTCGCAGACGATGCCCCCGACACATTATGACGTGATAGGCTCCCCCACCTACGTCGGGGAAACACCATCCATTCCTCACGTCAGGTCGTACTAATGTCCTATGTACTACATGTACTACATTTACTAAACCTGTTAGTCTGCCAGGCACGCCGTGAAGCTGCTCGCCAGCTGTTCTCGGTCCAGGTGCCGCCCAATGAAAACGATGCGGTTCACTCGCTTCTCCCCATCCTACCGGCGGCTCGACATCTTCATCGTGGAGCTCTGCTTCATTGTTATGGAGGACTGTCTGGGGCTTCACCTCGCCCTTCACGTCCCCCTAGGCTCTGGCGTCGTTGCTCTTCCTCGGAATTGATCTGGTATATCAAGGCTATGGAGCAGCTGCTCCCTAGTCAGCTGCAGCTCCAGCTGCAGCTGGAGCGTTCGTGCAAGCCTTCCTGAGACGATGCTTCCAAATTCAAGATGGCCCCACACTGCCCGTGACAGGATTTCGTCGTGATCCGCGTTTCGTGTGTGTTGGTCTGAGGGCTTATACTTCGCCCTTTATGTGTTTGAATTTAGTCGCCCTCGTCGGTCTGTGTGAACGGCTCGGCGTGCTTCGCGGGTCCGTCTCGTATGGTAGGTAGCTGTGTTCCCGCCTCTCCGGGGGGAGCTCTCGTGCGTTCACTAGGGCTTCTGGGTACTGGTGGGGGACTGGGCGTTTTGCGTCTTGGAGGTCCGTTTGGCTTTTCTGGGGCGAAGGCTCGCATCCGGTTTTGTCAGGTGGTATTTTTCCTTGGTAAGGTTATGCTTCGCCTTTCTTATACGCCCGTCCTAGGCTTTATCGCCTGTTTCAGGTATGTGTAAGTGCGCCCTGGCCTGACTAATAGGACACTCAGTGTGCTGATGCACTCGGGGTCCGCCGTAACAAACCGCGTACTGCTTAAAAGACCACTATCTCAGACGGTGAAATTATCGTCCTTGTCTACTTATCTTTTTTATTAGACTGAAAACATGAATCCTGAGAAAGGTCACAGTTGGGATAATTTAACGGCGGACCTTGTCGAGCGTGTTGTTAGCTTCCTGGATCCAAACGAGGTGGTATGTACCGTCAAGGAAATCAATAAGGCCATGGCGAGCCAGTTTCGGGAAAAAGTAGCTATCCGGTTGTCGCAGCCCGTACCCCATCACGCGTTCAACAGGCACTGGAGCCGCCCGGAAGCAGTTCAGAACTTCACACGAAGTAAGCGCCGAGAGCTCGTAGTCCTGACGGCCCGCAGCGGCAGCCTGGCCAACCTGCAGGTCGCCGTCAAGGCAGCGAGCTGCGAGCTCTCCTGGGAGGTCTTCAACGCAGCAGCCGAGGGCGGCAATATTGAGATGTGCCAGTGGCTGCAGGGAAAAGGCTGCTTCTTCATTTCTGAGGAAGCGCCAGCAGCAGCTGCCCGAGGTGGCCATCTGGAAACGGTCCGGTGGCTACTGCAACAGGAGCGTGATTTTCGAGAGCTACGGAGAGCCGGTTCCCAAGCATTTATAGCAGCCGCCTGTGCCGGTCATCAGACTGTGTGTGAGGGGCTCCTGGAGGACGGTACTCCGTTGAAACACTGGAGGTGTCTTCCTGGTGCCGCCCGTGGTGGCCATGTGGGCCTCACACACAGGCTCCTTCAGCTTGAGTCAGAATATGGGTCAGTGTCGGGACTCATGGCCGATATTGTCAAGGAAGCTGCATATGGCTTCGACCTGGCGGCATTGCAGCACCTGTACAGGAGGTATGGTTGTGATTTTGACGATGATTTTGGTGATGATGCCAGCAGCCTACTAATTGGCTACACCCTTGTGGAGGCCCTGGTGAGCCCCACCCCCGACTGGCGGGCCAAGGTGGAGTGGCTGCAGGCTCTGGGGTATCGCTTCCACAGCATTGAGTTCTTCAGTTGGGAGGCCCTTGCCAGCCTTCCGGATGCTGTGGAGCGGGCACAGCGGCTGCTTATGGAGGTAGAGGAAAAGGATGTCGTAGTACATATCCTCATCAGCGCCGCACGTGTTGATAACCTGTCCCTGATACGCTACTTGCGAGCGGGGAGGGACTGGCTTCCAGAACGCACGAAGGATGCAGTATCAGTAGCAGCCCGTGCCGGCAACAAGGTGCTGCTGGTCGAGCTGGTGACCTTGGGCTGGCGGCTTTCTGTGCGGACTGCAATGCATGCTGCAGAGCACGGTCACCTGCACATTCTTAGATGGATGTATGCATGTGGTGGTCCAGAGCTCATCCAGGAGCTCATGCAGCAGTACCAGGTTCTGTTGAGTTATGCAACATTGTCTGGTAGTGTGGAGGTCATGGAATGGCTGCTAAATGATCTAGCCTTGCCCTGGAGTGGAGAGAAGCTTCTTAATGAAGCGGTGATGGCAGGCAGTCCAGCAGTATTGGAGTGGCTTGTGGCACGGGGCGTCCCCATGGGGGTGAGTGGCTCACTTGCGTGACTTCTGTGCATGTTCTTGATGCGTGCTGTTGGTGCTGCTCAGCTCTACTGCTCATCACTGAATGTATGCCACGCACTGTCTGGCGTCTGCTGGTGACTTGGCCGATTTCGATGTGAAGGACCTCTCATTCTTGGCTTTCATCATGTCTGCATCATTTCTGCTGCTGAGCTCTGGACTGGATGGTGAAGGACCTGTCCCTAGGTTTCCATTTCACTGTCTGATGGTCTGCATTTATGTATTCGGAATGTAGTAGTGATCATACACTCTGGCGCACGCAGTCAATTCATACACATGCTGGGAGCACATTTCCAGCATCTTGAGAGGCCTTTTCAGCCGCCATCTATTATGGCCATTTTCTCGGGAACCATCTTCATAAGCCTCGCTCGTTGCTATGTTGCAGGATGATGGTGAGCTTTACATAACGGCAGCACACTATCAAGACCTGGTCATTCTGCGTTGCCTGAGGCGGCTGGGCTGCCCCTGGGGCCCCGGCGTCTTCAGCCGAGCGGTGTACGACAAGGACTATGGCATTACCCTAGAGAACCTTCACAGGGGCAGTACCGTAGAGGTCCTTCAGTGGCTGCGCGCCGAGGGTTGCCCGGTGGACTGGGAGGAGGCCAGTAGCCGGGCCAAGACCAGGAAAAATAAAAGTTTGAGGGATGAAAATGCTGTCGCTGTCCATGCCTGGATTGAGAGCATAGCGCCGAAGTAGCTGTTGGGACGAGCTGGGGGGGTCTACAACAGTTGCAGATGTGCGTATTAAGCAAAGCAAATAAACAGCAGCGAATTTCTGTGAGGGAGAGGAAGATTGAAGACGGCGGGGAGCTGCAAGGGGATGATGGGGAGGGTTTACGATAGATGCCTGCTTGGGAAGTGGGAACCTGAACGCCTGGCAAGGAGGCTGGAACGTATGTGGTCCCACCACAATTCTATCGTTCCCATTGGTCGTTAGTCTCCTCTATCACTTGCTTTGTCTGAAGTGCTTATGGGTGACCTGGCAGCCCTTGAGCCCTTGGCTCGTATTGGGTGGTTTGCAGGTAGTACGGGAATGCACCCAAGACCATTTAACACACACACAGATGGCCTGATTGGAGTGAAGTGGAGGGGCAGCAGTGGGATCATTGTAAGAGCCTGGCTTAGGACTTAAGATATTTCCGAGTAGGGACTCCATTCCTTCTTATCATTCCACCGTCGAGGCGAATATCATACACACAGTACATACAACTATCTTAGTCATCTTTTGACTATAGCCATACTAAGCAGTACATGGCTACAGCTATGGCTGTAACGATCCGTACACATACTCGAATCTTGCACACGTCTGCCCGTTCACGGCCAAACCTGTAACTTAACTCTCCTCTGGAAGGTGCGACTCTCTTCTGCAGGAATATCTACTATTGTACGGCATCTTATCCCGAGCGCCTCAGACGGACTGCAAGCGACTATAAAACCCCACGGGAAACCCCCGGTGTTTATCAACACCTTCATAGTGGAGTAGTCGCTAAATCCGTCTAAGTAACCAGGTAGGCTCTCACAATCATAATGCAACCATTCGTGGGGTCCACAGCCCGGTGAAGCAGTACAGCCTGGTGAATGCAGCTCTCACTCTTGCAGCGGTGCATTTGAGCGAGGGGCTGCTTAACAAGGGCAAACCTCCATATGATTACTCCCAACAGTTTTATCCCACCTGCGTTTGCAATGTAATGTTACCATATGCCACATAATTACGTGACATGATGGGGCACTTGTGCTGCTCTTGCGCCGATATATGCATGGTGTCGTGCAGCTTCTGCACCAGCAGTTCTCATCCATGATTTCACTCGCTTAATAGCTCACAACGTAAGTCGACACAACTGCAATGCGCCACCAGTGACGGAATTCTGGTCTCCTTATGCATTAAGGTGACTCAGCACCACAACCACGGCACTCGCTGCACAACAGCCAACTTCCCCAAAACGCTGGCGGTTTCTAACAAGGAGACAGAACACATAGATGTTGTTGTTGTTGTTACATGGTCGTGGGTGCGTTCCCCGTACCTGCAAACCACCCTAGTACGAGCCGAGGGCTCAAGGGCTGCCAAATCGCCTATAAGCACCATCCTACCTCGCACTTCCAACAAGACAAGTGATGAAAGATACTAACGACCAAAGGGAACGATAGAGTTGCGGTGAGACCATATACGTTCCAGCATCCTTGCCAGGCGTTCAGGTTCCCACTTCATAGCGTCCTTCATATGTTCGAAGCGTGGAAAGCCCATATCAGATCTGATTTCATCGTAAACCGGACAGTCCAGCAAAATGTGTTTCTCATCCTCGATGTGGTTATCAGTGCCGCAGCAAGAGCATACTCGCTCCTCCCTAGGTATATAACGCCGTCCCTTACGCGCTCTGTTAGCCGCCAGTACCCAACAGCAAAGCCTAAACTGCATAAGCTTGCGATTCGCCGAACGTGGGATAAACATTGTGATGTGCGGGAGCACCTCCTTCCTGCCCGCTTGCTCGGCCGCCAGCCCCATCCAATGCTTATACTTCGCCATGTGGATTCCTGGTTGCTTGCCATCTGACGGATACACGTCAGGCTGGGTATCTAAACGCGTATGCTTCCAACCACTCTTTAATCGGTCCTTGAACTCCAAAATCACACCTTCTGGCATTGGTCTGTTCATCAGCCACTCCACTCGTTCGTCTACCTCGTGTAGCCCTTGCGGGGCCTCTTTCCATACATCGTGCCCCAAAAAACATAGAAAACGGAGGAGTAGTGTCCCCCATCCGGGCCCTTCGGAATTGGAGAGGGATTCTGCGACCTCCTGTCGCAACACTTGGTGTGCCACAGAACCACGCTGTAAACGGACATGGTTCCAAAACCTCACAACCTGCTTGAGAACGTGGTAGTGTAGGGGTAGCTGCGATAGCTCTGCGAACAAGAGGCGATGTGTTGGTCTGGCAGCTCCTACAATTTGCCGCATGAAAGATATCTGAAGCTGCACTGCCCTGTCCTTTAGGCATGCCTCGAAGGGCCCCTCTGCAAGGTTATTCGCATCACTCCGCTTCCTGAGCCTGTCCGAGACCTCAGCTAGCATAAACGGCCCCCACACTTGACAACCATACAACAGTATTGCTCGTACCTGCGTATCGAAACACCTCATCCTCACATCTGGGGCGAACAACTTTAGCTTATCTAATTTTGCACTCAACACGAACATAGCTGCTCTAGCTGTGTCATACAACTGCTGGCGGCAGGCTCAGAACTGCCGTTCCGGCCCACACACTAACCCCAGATATCGTGCACTATCCTTAGCCGGTATGGCCTCTCCAGCCAGCCTGAGCTCATCACACGATGCTTGGACAGCACTTCTAGTGTCGCTGTCGCTTGCAAAAACGAGGCGTTCACATTTCGACACATTTGGGCGCATCCCAAAATCGTCACAGAACATGTCCACAATGTTGAGCAACTCCCCCATGCGTCCCGGTGTTGTTGCCAGAAGGCTAACGTCGTCGGCATAGAGGAGGATGGACACTCGCTCATTTCCAACCTCCGGCGCATCCTCTGGCCGTGCCCCGGTATTAATACCGTCGTGCATATCGATGACGTCCGCGAGGGTTTCAATGTAGAGCCCAAACAGCTCAGTTGATAGTGGACAGCCTTGTTTCACACCCTGTTTTGACTCAAATTCACCTCCAGCCTTGCCATTCGTCTTGATGTTAGTTAATGAAGTTCAAAAGCCGGTTCGCACCATCAGGCCCTGTCTCCCCTACACCTGCGTTTAAGAGCCCAGCAAAGTGTTCCCTGAAGACCTCAATATCGTCTATCGCACATCGCTCCCTCAACTTCCCTCCTAAAGCCCGCCACAAAGCTCGTTGGTCTTGCCGACATTTGGCCACAAAATCTCTCATCCTATCCTCCTCATATGCCGCCTTTGCGTGTCTTTTTGCCCGGTTATAATCCGTCCGCGCATGGCGGAAAGCCTCCCACTCCGGACCCGATTTATTACTCACCCGGCCTGGACCCAGTTGTGCTCTACTCTCCAACATGCGTTGCCGTGTTTGTTGACATTCCCGGTTCCACCAAACCGTATTCCCACCTGCCGTCATGCCGGTAGGTCGGTGGGTATCGAAGGCCCTCACCAGGACTTTGTACAGGGCACCTCCAATGTGTTCGACAGCTTGTGTGGTGTTGCAAACTCCCCTCTGCAGGTCCTCGGCCACTTGGCTTAAGGCATTCATAGTGGGGGACCCCCCCTCAAAATATCCCGCGTAATCCTGGTATCGTGCAATATCAAACTCCACCCGGGCTTTCCGGCCTTTACCGTCCCTACACCTGTTTTCGTCATCCACTGTAACATTAAGAACAAGCGTCAAAGGACGGTGGTCGGTGGGCTCCCATCCATCCAACTCGATCAGGTTTCCTACCCTCAGAAAGGTGGCGTACTGCTGAAGCACACGCGGAGTCGCTATGAATAAATCGAGCATACTACCGCCTGCCTCCCCCTTAGGGAAAGTTAGGCGGCCTTCTGGGTCCCCTCTCATCCGGCCGTTCATCACGAGCAATCCCTCGGATCTGCAGAGCGCCCCAAGCTGGGCACCAAAGAAATTGCAAACTTGGTCCTGGCACTTTCGATTTCCGAGTCCATCATAATTCTGGTGGTCCCTCAGTCCTTCTAAACCCATGACCTCGCATACAGCCTGCCTGCGACTGCTCTAAATCCGGGATGTCATTCACGTAAGCAGGTAAGTCCATCGGGGTAGCACGGTTCCGCTCATGCTGTGCTCCAGACAGACGTGCATTAAGATCCCCGGCAATCAGCACGTCCTCATCGCCAAGTCTGAGTTCCGTTAGTGACTGTTGGATCCTGGTAAAAACGGCTTCTGCTGCTGCAGTGCGCTGTGATACGGTGCCTCCACCATCTGGGTAGACCCTGGACGTCTCTGGTGCGAGGTAGCAGGCTCCCATCAGGAGGCTGCTACCTGTAGAAAGGCTAACGCGTGTCCAAATGACCTCGCACCCTGGCAGCTGGTTGTCCTTGCGCACTACCGTAATACCCCTCGTGAGTGACTCCCGTACATACAGCGCGACGCCTCCATAATCAGCCCTCAGGGCTTCCTTTGACCTCTCCACCCGGAAAATACGGAACCCTTCCAAAGCTATGTCTTTCTCCTCAGTAGTGTCCTTCAAATGCGCCTCAGCTATAACCACAATATCATGACTCGTGACGAACGACCTAATTCCTGCCTGGTTGAGCTTGAAAACTCCCGCCTCCAGTAGCCCATGAACATTCCACAGTAAAATCCGTAGCCCTCGGCTCGCGAGCCCCTAGGTGTCATCCATTTCGTCAGCGTTAGGGAGGTTTGCGAAGCGGTTTGTCCTGTTACCCGCCAGTTGGTCCCGTGCCCTGTCGTCCCTGCCCCCACTGCCGCTTCCTCCTTGGCCCACCTGCCCGTTTCGTGTGCTTCCCGCCACGAGTCGGAACCCTTCAGTGTCGACGCCCCGGCTATCCGGCCCTTGTACTCGTGGGTCGCGTCCGGCTGGTGGTCTGTAGCTCGGAATGTAGTGGTGATCGTACACTCTGGCACACGCAGTCAATTCATACACATGCTGGGAGCACATTTCCAGCATCTCGAGAGGCCTTTTCAGCCGCCATCTATTAAGGCCGGTTCTCGGGAACCATCTTCATAAGCCTCGCTCGTTGCTATGTTGCAGGATGATGGTGAGCTTTACGTAAGGGCAGCACACCATCGCGACCTGGTCATCCTGCGTTGCCTGAGGCGGCTGGACTGCCCCTGGGGCCCTGGTGTCTTCAGCCGAGCGGTGTACGACAAGGTTGGTGGCGGTACCCTAGAGGTCCTTCAGTGGCTGCACGCCGAGGGCTGCCCGGTGGACTGGGAGGAGGCCAGGAGCTGGGCCAAGACCAGAAAAGATAAAAGTTTGAGGGATGAAAATGCTGACGCTGTCCATGCCTGGATTGAGAGCATAGCGCTGAGTTAGCTGTTGGGACGAGCCAGGGGGGTCTACAACAGTTGCAGATGTGGTATTAAGCAAATCAGATGAACAGCAGCGAATTTCTGTGAGGGAGAGGGAACTTGAAGACGGCGGGGAGCTGCAAGGGGATCTTGGGAAGTGGGAACCTGAACATATGTGGTCCCACCGCAAGCCTATCGTTAGCCTCCTTTATCACTTGCTTAGTCTGAAGTGCGAGGTAGGATGGTGCTTATAGGCGACCTGGCAGCCCTTAAGCCCTTGGCTCGTATTGGGTGGTTTGCAGGTAGTACGGGAATGCACCCAAGACCATGTAACACACACACACACAGATGCCTGATTGGAGTGAAGTGGAGGGGCAGCAGTGGAGGGGCAGCAGTGGAGGGGATCATAGTGCAACCATTCGCGTTTTTGTTCAAGGTGCCGTACTGTGTACCAGCTACTACATTCCTCCCCCTTTGAAGGGATCCGCGTCGGGCCCTTTTGGCCATATACACCATCAGCCTGTGCCTACCTTCGCCTACCCGCGGGCTGTGGGCGAACAGTCCACATCGTCTTTAAGGTTTTCAGGGACAGAGTCTTGCCACATAGCCACAGCTACTTTATCACTTCGTGCAATTAATCGTCTGACCCAATGGTCAACATGTGTGGATATTCGGAGGGACGACGTCAGGAATGTTAACATGTACAAGGTCTCGATACCAGTTGTAGTGGCTGGCCGCTGAAAATGCCTCTCGAGATGCTGATGAAGCACTTCGCGCGTATTTGTGGTTGTTCAAGGTGCCGTACAGGGTACCAGCTACTTCAGCTCCCCAGTGCTCCTTCATCGGGTTGATGAGACACACACACACACACAGATATTACTGCAACTGCTGCACAACCAACTAATACCATTGCCACTGCAACGGCAACGGCAAGTCAAAAAGGTATTCTACAGAGGTAGCAGTAGCAATAGCAGTACCAGCAGCTGCAGCACATGTGCCCACCTCCTCCAGGGCAAGATGACCGCGGAGGAGGTAGAGGAGGAAAAGGAGAAGAAAACGGAAAAGGAAAAGCATCAACCCTCGCCAGCAGAGAGCAGAACAGAACTCATCAATCAATCCGCAGGACACTCTGCCGGTTCTCAAATTGACCTTCTTCTTTTTTCTTCTTTTTTTCGTTGTCCCTTGTTAATTAGAATTCGATGTCGCTCTGTGTGTCGCGTGCACGCAATACAAGAAAACAACGCTTATGTTCAATAACTTAATTATCTCACCTCAACCCGCAAACCGCCCGTCAACCCCATCCACTCAAAAGCCCTCGGTAAGTTGACCTCATTCCCGGCGGCCCACGGAGTTCATTAATGAAGGAACCCCGTCCCTATCGAGCCCAGATAGATAGTCATCTCCAGATTTGGATTCCGAATTTCAAAGATCCAGTTGACCCACATCAGATTTGTGTCCCCACTATCTCACCCAGCCCCCTGGACCTTCCTTTTCCGCCTGCTCCTCTTCCTCCTCCACCATTACCATTACCTACTCTTACCACTGTGGCCACCCGAAGTTTCTGTCTCCTGGAGAGGGACTTCTTGGTGGCCCTCTTCCGCCGCCTCGCCTCATTATGCTCTATGCAGCAAAGTATTCTCCGCCACCTCTGGCCTCCTGTCGCTCACAGTTGTGTGGTGGCGAATGGCGAATGTGGCGGGTGCAACGACAACGACACATGCAGGTCAGAAAGCCCCTCCCAACTTCCATGTCTCACCTCTAGCGTCTTGATCACGCAAACCTCCAACTTTTAACTGTCAATTCCCAACTGCAAGAGGACCTGCCAACTGAAACTGGCAGCCCTAGGCATGCAAGTGCATCAGACGCAATGCACGCAACCAACGCCAAAGGCTATTCGGTCAACAAACAACCGCAACCGTAATAAGGCAACCATAACAGCAACCATCAACTGCTCGGATCACAATGGATGGCCCCTGGGCGCCAACTATACACATCTCTCTCTGCCACTCTCCCTCCCTTTCCTTTGTCTATATGATGTGTGGAACAGGGGGGTATATCTTCACCCGTGGCCGCTACCCTGCGATACCCTACCTTCCCCGGTATTTCAGTGTACCCTCATCCAGTCACCCTAGTTCACTTCTCAGTGGATCGCTTAGCTTCCGCACCCACCACTGGCATCCAACGGAATCTGCCGAATCGACGACGGCCCTATTCCATTCCTGGTCAGCTCGCAGATTGACTATATCCCAGATCACCACCGTCCATCAACTTGGGGCACTTTACCTTTCACCATCGGAAGGATTTCCGACCCTAGCAGATCTTGATCCCGGGATCTCCCGGGGGCAATGGTCGTGCCTTACCTGTAGCTAACCTAGTCTATATATCGCTCATTCTTCTTTTATCGCTCTTTTCCTCTTAATTAGCACCCTGGCGTCTGTTGCTGAGGGCAACACGAGCACGTCAACTGGTGCGCGGCAACTGGTGCTGTCCGACAACACCGCATACGCCTCCGCCACCATTGGAAACATTGTGTTCGACGCCACCACCATTGCCGCCATCATTGGCGACGGCAACGCCGCCGGCGTCCCCGCCGCTGGCATCGCCACCCTGGCCGCTGGCGCTGCAGGAGACCATGTATAACCTGTACCACCCTGATGTGAGACTGTTAGCTTCGCCTCATGACTTTCCACTTGACCCCTAATGCCTGGCCATGGTGCTCCTGTGCCGTTGCGGATATGGGCTGACCACTGCCTATCGATGTTGCTAAAAGCCTGGCGGGAAGTTTGTACTCAGGCACGACCCGAACCCCCTCTCCTAGGTGCACAAACACGATGGCAGCACTCGGCGTCACGCCACCATCAGTCCAGGTGGCAGCAGCTTACCATTGGCAGCGTACTTGCTATGCTTGTACTTGCGTTGCTGTATTTCGATAGCGGGTCGTCTAGTCGCCGAACACATTCATCAGTCACCCTTACCGAACCTCTAAACGTATTCCTGTTGTTTAGGCATCAAAGGGAGGACCCTTGTTTGAAGAGTATGCCAGGTGCAAACGTGCTTCACCGCACTTGACACGGTACCAGGGACCTTGCTTTTTTCCACTCCCCTTGTGCGCTGGTCCGTCAGCTGTCCAGGAAAAAGCGATCCTGAATGCAGCCCCATATGGTACACCTGGATGCCATACTCCCCCCGACTGAATTCCGCCCCCCAAAACCCCTTTCCGTAACCGCCTAAGGCAGTAGTGCCGCCAGACCAGATCATGTACACGAGTCAGGGGCCCAAGCAGTCCGAAAGCTGTCCGAATAGATAGACATCGCACAAAAAACGCACAAAGAAAACCAGTATCCTATATTGCTCACGATGTCGAACTAACTGACGGTTACACCATAGCAAGTGCGCCTGCTATTTGAGACCCTCCTCAGCCAGACACCGTGGATGAGGCTCGCCAAGGTCAGCTCATCATCCGCTACCATCACATCCTTCATAGTCTGTGTTGGTGCGAAGGGGGTGTGCCGTGTCGCCCCGTGGCCTGTGCCTGGCAGCTCGTGCCGGACCTCAGGCGGGACGGGACCCGCGCACTTTTGCGCGATATGGAGGCGCATTTCCTGAAGGCGCCCTTGCTTGAACTCGATCCGGCAGTACTTGCAGATGATAATCCAGTTCTTAGACTTTGCGTTATATTCTTTCTTCTCTAAGTGAGCCCAAACGGTCTGATCAGCGGGCCTTCCGCCCTTGTTTTTGACCTGCTCTGTGTCTGCACTAACAACGGAAGTTGTCTGAGACATTGTTGAGATAAACTCAGGCCAAGAGCCCTGTTCGCACCTATTTGCGCCTTTCGTGTGGTGCCATCTTGTGTTTTTTTGGTTTGTTTAGTAACGAAACGTGAATCATGCGTCGTCGGCAGGCTTCCAGCGGCCGGCGCCCCAAGGTTTATCGTGGACATGACCGCCAACCGAGGTAACCGCACGAGCATGCCATGCCCGGCCAGTGGTCCCTCGCGTCCATGCAACAACGGCACTGGATCTTCACGACGATACGCCATGGACCTGACGGGTGGGTTGATATGTGCTTTCGTCCGGTTCATGGTTGGGTGCCCATCTCCCTTGATAATTGACACTGTTGCTACTGGCTGTAGGCACGGACGACTCGGGACCGCAACAGCAGCGCAGGCCCCAGCCTGCGGGGCCTCTGTCATCGAGATCTCGTCCGATAGCAGCGACGATGACGACGACGGCGACGGTGGGTTGGTGTCGCTCAGTGCAGCATCACCTCACTATGCCTTGTGCCTGCTGTTGCCAGGTGTTGCATCCAATCATAACACATATAATCACTGGCTACTGCCCAACGTTCCATCAACTCCTGAAGCATATAAACGCATTCCCCTGCGTCCCCCGGTTCCCCTTCATCCTCGTCCAGGCAGCACGGCGCTGCATGCTGGTGTGTGCCCTGTCGGTCCGTTGGGTGCATTAGCCGCAGGTCCATCAGGCGATGCAGCACACCGGCCAAGCACCGCCACCGCGGGCAGGCACGACGCGGCATCGACGAGGCGGAGGTACCGCCCTCCCCTGCGCCTCCGTAGCCCAACGCCGCCCCCATCTGCACCCGCCCTGCCCAACGCCACCCTGCCCTGCACCCTACTTGCCCAGGGGAGGGCGGCGCTGGGCAGGGCGGTTCAGGGGAGGGCGGCGCAGGC